GGAGCGGTGCTGGAGCGAAGTCTGAGTGGAGCGGGAGCGGAGTCGGAGCGGTTATTTTTGATTCGGGCCGGAGCTGGAGCGAGCCAGAGTGGAGCGGGAGCGGAGTCGGAGCGCTTATTTTTTATTCGGACCGGAGCTGGAGCGGAGCTGGAGCGAGAAATGGTCGGAGCTGCCCATCTCTGCATGTGACATTATTTTGATGTTATGAACAGTAAAATGATCATAAAAATAAAATAGATATGACTTTCAAAATGTTGTTGATTAAAAAGCGACTTATCGTGGCTATGATTCCTGAAAATGTCAGTCCTATAAAACCTTCTTAAGTGGTAAACTTGTTTTATGGCGGGGCCTTAAATAGGCTCCCCAGTGAGTGTTCAGCATAAAAGATCTGCGCACATTTGAATTTAAATGTCATACAACTATTCTTCCCAATGATCGACTGATAAAGGGCATCCAGGTGTGCGTGAGGTGTAGCTTTGAGTGCGAACGTGTTAACAATTACAGTCTTCTATTTATGTTCTCACCCATACTCATGGAATTTTGGGACGACTAATTACCACTATGGTAAACTATGAATCGTCTCATATGATAGAAACAATTTTACATAGTGGACGATTGAAAACAATAAAAACTATGGATTTTAGATTTCGAAGAAAAATAAATGAATATAATGAGATTGATTCGATTGACCCGCTAGAATCAGTAGTTTTAACTGACTAAATGCATCTACTATTAAAAAGCAATGTTATGATATTTTAAATTGCAGAAAATAGCTCAAATATCATACAGTTCAATCCATATATTTATGGAAAACGAACATGTTTAAACAAAGTTCTCTCTTGACAAAATGATAGTTTAGCTTCTTTCACATTTGAAAAAATAAAATATTATAAATTTGATGAACAAAAAGACGTGAATGGTCGATTTGATAACATTAAAACCGCTAAGTTTAAATATGTGTTCGTGGGCGTATATAATAGAAATTTTCCCAGTCACACCACTGCTTTACCTTGTTTATTTTTAATGAAATTTCGGTTATTTATTTTGTAATTCGCAAAAACTTGAGGAAAAACCAAAAGGCTAATCAATCAGATAGATTCACTTGTGATTCCTACGATTCATCTTTTAAGGAGAAGCTGGGAATGACAAGTTTATATCGGCGTCTGGATCGTACTGAGTCAATTTTACATGCAACTCGCCTCCGATCACGGTGGTTCCAGGTTTCGTTGCACGCATCGCTATTTCGATGACATGCGTACCCCGTGGAAGATAGACTGTGTCAAATTTTGCACATAAAAAGGCATAACCACCAGTTGGCCCATTAATAAGTGGTCCACCAGCTCGAGAATCTATGGCGTCTATGCTTTCCCCCAGATCAACAGCAACAGATCGTCTGCGTTGATTATTGTTAGGTAACAGACGATTTGAATTGAGAATACGGTTATCGATCATAAATCCAAGAAACAATTGATACCAGGAGTTCCACATACGACAACTACCTCGGAAGCGTAACTCGTAAACTGTGGGCTTCTCATGGCTCACAACAAACATGAGACCCGGAACTTTGACAAAAATTGCATCATCATAATTCAGCGTAAACTGTTCAGGTTCTTGATATCGAGTATGAAAGGATTGTGCTAGTATTACATTATGAATCTGTGCTGATCGACCAATAGGAACATGAAAAATTGCCGTTTTGTTTGAGGTAATGCGTGTGATAGAGAAAGAGAACACCGTAACGAACAGTAAAATGGTTACTGAAAGCATTATCTGGTTGACACGAATCTAAACGACTTTTGAGAATATCTGATAAAGTTTTATATGATTTGTTTAAATCATGTTATTTCCGGAAAAAAATGCAACTTGAGCACTCAGATTCTTATTCAGGAGTTAACATGATATATAATTTAAATATTTATTAAAGATGTATTCATTCATCTGAATAAACAGTTTTACATAAATCAATGATGCAGCTAATGTAACACGCAAGGGACCAACATACGAAGGAAGTAGCAGAACTTACGAAATATAATAAAGGAAGGGTGTAGGTGTGTTTGAAGGTTTATAGAATGGAGATCCTCACATCCACAGCATCATGATATGCATACCGTGAAGATTTAAAAAAATTTCGATGAAACGTTCTCAAGAAAACTCACTCAGCGGGTGGAGAGGTGCTTCATTAATTAAGCAGATCTTTACAAACATTTTATTTATCCTAATAGAGCTCGATTTAAATTCAAGATGAATGTTAATTGCTTATGTTTCAATAATTTTGCTTTTATACTTATTTAGACGAAATTATTTTCTACACATTTATATTTATCAAAATATTTACTGTTTGTCAGTTTACAATATTTTTATTTCAATCTACTGCATAACTATCATTTGTTATTTCATATCAAAATATTTTCTCTCAAACTCTTTCACAGTTGTATATTCAAATGAAAAATCTTCCACGGATTCTCTGGATGACCGTTTGAATCAACTCCATGCGTTCTTTGTGAATATCTTCGATGTGATTCATTTGAAATTACCAACAACTAAATATAAGAGCATTTGTTTACATAAAGCTATTAAATATTGAAATGAATAAATAAAATCTTTTGTTCTGCTCTCTTTTAGGAAAAAAACTCTCTAATTTAAAATACTTTTTTCTAACTCCGGACAGAGTTGATATACCGATGTCTTTTGACGATAAATCTGTTATATCACTTCGAGATCGAATGTTGAATTTAGAAAAGCTTGTTTTAAATTTTGTCGTCTTCAGTTATAATTCATTTATTAATAGTAATCAATTGACAATGAATATTATCAACTATTTACCACGATTACAATGAGACTTCTCTTCTGAACATGAATTATTTCTTCGGATCAGAGATGGGCAGCTCCGACTCCGGAGCGGCCGCTCCTTGGAGCTAGCTCCGCTCCATGGAGCGGAGCGGAGCTGAGCGACTCATCAGAACAGTGGAGCNTTATATATAAATAAATTCGCAACCACATAGTATTATTCATTGCATTTGAACAAACTTCAATTCGATATTTTTATTCTATCCATTCTGCATTCTTTACATTCGATAGACATTTAATTTGAAAGTTGATTTTCCTTCTCATCGAAATATATTATATGTGGCATCAAATTTTGTCAAAATAATTAAAAATTCTATTTAAAAGCTTCATTAACATTTTTGTTTTAAAATACGTTTAGGAATATTGAACATATTTATAATTTTGTCGAGCTTACATACACAAATATTTAAGTTATTTATGTTAGTGAGGTATTCTTTCAATTTCAAGTATTCAGTTTCCATATTTATATCGTTCAGAGAATCATGCAAAATAGCACGTGCACAGGATCATTTCCTCATGCAGGTAGGACTATTTTCAAATTGATCTGACCTCCTCGCGTTCTAATTGTTGGCATTTTTCTAAGTTCTGTTGTTCGTTAAAATAACATTCCAATTTGGTCTAGACGAAACTAGAATTGCACGTTGGACTAGACTAATTCTGAATCGGGCTGAATTCTAACTTCGGTCATATCCTATATATAGACACGTACATGTATGTCTTATCAGAAAGAAAAACAGCGTACAACAATCGTTACGATATAAACATATATAGCTACTTCAGCAGCAATCGCAATAGCCGAATTTCGCAATAATTATTGTGCCTCATATATTACTCGAAAATTAAGGCAATAACAAGGTAAGCTTTTCGAAATTCTATGCATATATGTGGAACAATTATTTTCTTAATTATATTTTTTATTCGGGCGTTTTTTCTTATGAAATGACCAAAGCAACGAGAGAGGGTTGCCAGAAGTTAGTTTGATACATGAGCTTCTATTTATCGTCATTAGACATAAAGAAAAATATTTTAATACGCCAGAATTTTGTAGTAAAGAAAATGTAGAAAAAGTTAAGGTACAGTCTATTGAAATTACTGAGAAAATATCTGTTTCGGATAATGTTGAAGATTTATACAATTGAAAATGTAGAAGTTCATTCTATAGTAGATATTATGTTTGAAATTCTTGAAGATAAATTACAACATAAGATACTTGTTGGAAAAAAATATTACAATTACTCAAGATGAATATTTCGAATGTGCCAAGAAGAAATTTCATGAATCGATTAACATAGAATTTAATTTAAACCATACTAAGCAAAATTTATGAGATGTCATATTTAGTTATTCTAGTACTGTAATTTCTGTTAATTCTATGAAATTTCGACATTGTACACTATGAACTTTTTATTTTAGATTTTCATTGGAAACACTGTTTATGACTACTGAAGTTTCTTCACATTTTTTTTTGGGATTGCCCATTGAAATTATCTATCAGGTTCTGGACGAGCTTGATATATTACAAATTTTATATTCACTTTGTAATGTATGTCCACGACTGAATATGATCATTGGTACATATTATCGATATAAAGTAAGTTTTAATATTCTATAGAGATACGCCATTTTCCTGTTACTTTGAAATGGATATAATTTATCATGAGTTCATTGATAATAGTTTTCAGTTAATTTATAATTTATTAAATAATAAGTGAAATCACACTATTCTTTTACTTGTTACTATGGAATAGCTGCCAGATAGGCAAGCGATAAAAGGCGTAAACAAGTTTTGAAACTTCAACTAATTCGCAAAAATTGTACACATTAATAGGTTTATTATTCACTTGATTTTTGGCTGGGCATGCATTTATTTCGAACAGAATTATTAGTCTGTGTATTGATAAAAATTATGAAAGACCCGGAGAATCCTATTTCATTCTTTTCTTATGTGAGATTCATTCTTGAAAAAATTGTAACTTATATTTACGAAAACAAAATATCACTTCACTACCCGAACAAGTCATTGAGACATGATCGAAACAGGATCATCTTTTCGAAAATTAATTTTAGCAATTCTTCCTGTGCTTAAAGAGCCTAGCACTCATTACAAACATTTTTCATAGAGAAAATTTGGAATATTACCATACACATAAGCTGCAGCGGATTTAAAGAAGAAAAATGCTCTCAGTCTTTTCCGAGTCGGAGGCAATGCTCAAATGGCATGACTTCTTTTAAAATTAGAACGACATCCATATATTTAGTAAAAGTACTTGATAAATGTATTCGATTCTCTCAAAAGCCTGTCAGACCCAGGGATAACGCCTGTCCGTTAGCAGTAGAATTCAAAGCAAGTCAAAGTCGACTACAGGATGCTTTGATAATTCACAATATTGAAATTTTTTATTTTATTTTCCATTAGGGACTTTTCTAGTTAAGGGATCGACCTTTCATACAAATCAAAAGGGTTATAATGCGTTTTAGTCAATAAATATCGTAAGAGAAATTACATAAATTGAAATAAAGGCTTAGTTTACATTTTAAATATCAGAATTTCATCGAGAAACTGATGCTAACATTATTTCTGTGGTCCAGCATGTTAATTAGTCCTATGTTTTCTACTCTGTTACTCGATTTCAATAAAACCATACCACAATCTCTCAATTTTCACATAGGCATTCACCGTACTGAACAGAAAAAGGAAACGAATCGAATACAAAGAATTAAAACAGCTGGTTAATGCATTCCAAATTATTCCGGTAATACTACTTCTCTCTTCATCTTTCTTATATTCCCATTTGCACTTTTCTACACAGACACTCGTCACACTAGATCTCACAGGAAATAAACTTGGAGCTCGTGAAGCACAATGTCTGGCTGATGCATTAAAAACTAACACGGTAATCATCGTTCTTTCTCATATGTCTACCTTTACGTTTTCACACAGACACTCACTACACTGTATCTCGGATCGAATGGAATTGGATATCGCGGAGCAACGTATCTGGCTGATGCATTAGAAACGAATAAGGTAATCTTCCATCTCTTTAGATGTTTCACTTGCTTATCTTCAACTGTTTTGCCTAGGCACTCACCACACTGCATCTCGGATCGAATGATATTGGACCTAGTGGAGCACTGTATCTGAGTTATGCATTAGAAAAGAATAAGGTAACTCTCATTCTTTCTCATGTAAGTATCTTCACTCTTTTACATAGACGCTCACTGCACTGCATCTCGAATCGAATGGAATTGGATCCGACGGAGCACAGCATCTGGCTGATGAATTAGAAAATAATAAGGTAACCCTCATTCTCTTTGGATCTGTTTCACATGTTTAAATCCATTTTTTGTTTGCATAGACACTCACCACACTAGATGTGAGTTCGAACTCAATCGAACGGGGAGCCTTTCAAATCGTATACGGAAACTTATTAAACGTAACCAACAACGGAAAAAGTTGTGAATCTTGATTTGTGGCTGAACTTAAATCTTGTAATGATTGTGTCTCATTTAATGACTTTCATATTTTTATTTGGAGATAAAAATGCACTATTTGTCTTTGAAATCTGCAAACAACAAGTATAATAATGAATACGGGTTGACGGAACCTGTTGTATTGATGAAAAGCAGACATTTTGTTGCGCGGTATTGAGGCATTGTTGATTTTATTCGTCGGTGATTCCCTAGTGTTAACAGAGGTGCTGGAGAGGGGTAGTGTTATTGAAACTGATGGATGTTTTATTTTTAAATATTATTCGTGCTTGTCATATAAGTTTGTATAGGAGGAATTATCGGATTCAGATTGTTATTGATGTCACTTTCAGTGTAAAATAATAAACAAGTGGATATCGATATTTTTTTTTTATCTATGTGGATAGATTCTTTATTTGGGCGACTGAAAAAAAAAGAAAATTGTTGATAATGATTGCAATGTACTGTTCATTTATCTTGTTGAACAATGTTAGAGTTTTGATTAAAAAATTCTATAAATTAGTATGGATCGACTTTTGAAATGAGTGGCTACTGATAGCAAGGAAGTGTCGGATGGTAACATACATTTATATATTCATGCAATCGACTTGCTCTTTTATCGGTGTACTCAATGCATGTCTTTTCTGTTTTTTTTCACGATGTTTGTATTGTAAATAATAAAAACTTGATTCAAGTTATCAGTTAGAACACTCTGTTAATTAAGCCATGATGGGATTCGACAATTGAAATACTTTATGAAAACAGAAAAAACTCGAATAGATTAGTGAGCAGGATCGATAACGAGAAAAATATGTATCATTCTACACAGCACCCGTTATTTTTACGTCTGTTTAAATAAAACATTGAAAATAGCACAAAAGAGAGTCAAGTAAATGCTGCAATGATTGAATTGTATTGTAATAGTCTTCAAATGAATAAAACGAATAATGAATCCAGTTCATGGCATTTTTCTGTATTGTAGCGACGCCCAGTATTGCGCCCAATCCGAATGGGATGATGTGCCAGTGAAAAGATATCTGTTTACAATGCTTTTTATATCTTCTTTCTTCCTTTCTTGTTGTTTTCCAATTTATTAATGTTGGTTATAATAAAAAAAACATCATTTCGTCTATCTCATTTTCGTTGTAACTGCCTGGCTCACTGATCATGTAAATCAAGAATTCAAGAAATGTGCTTCATAAAAGAATTAAAAATTAACCGAGAAGTTCTCAGAATATCTTATGAAAATTCTCTTGCAATTCGTCATAATAAATTAGGAAGAAAAATTAGTCGAATATTCCGAAATGGACAGTAAAAAGTCTAATAGATTCAAAAATATACGCATAGACTTGGATCCGGCGTAGATAGTTTTTTTCTGTAAGAGAATATATTTTTATGTTCGTTCTAAATGCAAAGTTTTCAATCAAAAGTTTTTTCTTGTGTCAAAACATAATTTCGAAATCTTTAGATGAATAATATGGTTGTCTCAACGCTTGAATCTCTTCCAAACGAGATATTGCTGGGAATCCTACAGCTACCAAAATCTCATCAATAGGACCAATTTCTTTATTCTTTCGCATGTTGCCATTTGATAATTTTCACAACTTACGATCATTGTCAATCATTGAAGTCAACCAAGTTGAAATAAATAACCTGGTCTTAAAATTACCAACATTGAATCATCTATTGTATTTATATATTTACTGTGATTACACATATTATCCGATTTTTTTATTGAATGATGTTATCTCAGCGTCATTATGCTCATCTACTTTCAGTTGTGCATCTACCGTGCGGTATAATTGGTCAAGCATCGGTCCTCTATGCCCTAATTTAAAATATTTGAATATCGATACCGTCATTTATTTTGAACATTATGTCCAGTTGTATTCTTCTTCACTATCCAGCAACTTTAAGAAAGTGTCCATGCGTTTGAGTGGAAATTAAAATAATCCAGTCACCACTGCATGTGCTGCTTTATCAATGTTAGACACGAACAAAAGTGTCAGCGAATTATCCATTCGTTTCGATTGAGAAATATCATTTGATAACGTAAAGCTTATATTACGGAAATTCTCACGCTTGACTAAACTATCGATTGAAATGATGCACTATTCGGATACAAGTGATGATGAAAGTCTTTTAAACGGCTTCCAATGGGAACAACTCATTTCTACATATCTACCGACTTTGAATGTACTGAAATTTCGTATTTCAATATCGAAAGAGCAACTGAATGCTCAATTAATGGGTTCGTTTCAAACGGAGTTTTGGATTCAACATAAATGGTACGTATTTATTAGATATTTCATCTTTCGCATCTTTATTCAAAGGATTCACGAACACACACGCACGATTATATATTGATCTACGTTGCTAAGAGACCGAAAAAAAGCGAAAAAACACAAACAGAAGATGAGGTATTAATGACTAAGGAGAAAGTGAGAAGACCGATAATTAATTGGAAAAATTATAGTCGAAAAAATAACAGGACAATATTTATGATATGGATGTGGATGTCGGCGAAGAGAAGATACATCCACGCTCGTTACTTGTGAATTACAAGTTTGATGCTTATTTAGGTTTGTTGATTTTGATGTTGGTATACTTTACACAACGACATATACGAAAAGAGAATTAACGTTATGGTGCACTCGAAATATATCATCATTGTTGTCAGGAGTTTCTAATAGATATGATCATGTAGAAACATTAGTGGTGAATTTCAGCACTGATTTTCAATGGTCTGCTGAAGCTTTATCATCGTTTCCAGAGGACTACTACGAATATGACAGGCGTGGTATGCGTTGTGGTTTTGTTCATGACCAGCTGAAACCAGACGAGTATCAATCAGTTTGCATTTTTTTGAATAAAATTCTGCGCTTATCGAAACTACAGTCATTGGCTATCTACAGCTTTCTACCAAAAGATTATTTGATCCAGTTACTTAGTAGCCCAACGAATTTAACGAAACTAGAGCTTCACGGTTGGGCAGGTGATGTACCAAATCGAATATAACTATTTATCTAGAAAATGGATAATTCTAATCTCAACTATCTTTCAGGTTCAATTAAAGTTGATCTCTTCGACTTCATGTTTGAAAATAGACAATTATTCAAAAATATTCAACATCTAATTATAACTGACACGAACAAACGTATAATAGATATTAAAAAAGTCGAAAAGTTCATTCGTATTTTTGACGATTATCGACTCCTTAAAGTATTAGAAATTAAAGTGAACGACAAATATTATTTTCCAGTTTTACGATTACTATTAAATAAAATAAAATCATTATCATTTATAAGTATTAAATCGTATATAATTACATGTGAAGTTTCGACATTATTACAATGGTTAAAATAAGTGTTAAACGGAATTGAATATCAAGCAAACGTCGAAAAGGAAGCATTATCAATTTGGTTCTAATTTACGAATGCGAAGGTGGAGTCAGTCTGTCTGCAGATAAAGAAACATATATTTTAACAATTGTTTTGATTGCGTTTTATTTTCAAGGGTGACGATTGGTAAATTAGAATTCATTGGCTTTTGTAAAAATAGCTCAATAGAACATAAGTACATGTTTTGTAGAAATGAAATAAAATAAAATAGATTAAAAAAAGAATGTATTTTTTTCTGTGAAGAAACCTACTGATGGTTAAGAATACGTTCCATACCAGCCAAAATAGCGATTATACTTTTGTTTCTCTATATCAATGAAAAATAATTTTGATTGAACTATTTTACTCTTCAGGTTACATTTCATGTGATCAAATGGATACTTCTGACTTCAATATTTGAATGCTGTCGCTATTAATGCCATCGCTATTAGAAAAGTCGCATAGATAGATATGTTAAGTGATAGTTATGATGATTTCAATGGTAGTCTCTACAAGTCTTGATGTGACAATTCAAATCAATGCAATAAAATGATTAAACTTACAGAGTTATTATACGCATTCAAATGAATACACTGTGGGCTATCAGCAAGAGTCGATTTCTTCAAATTTATGTATTCATTTGAAACTATCTCCGTTCTTCATAATTCCGTTTGTATCACAGGCATAAAGTTGATAGCGAGATTTATATTTTTAAAAGTGATAGAATTACTCATCTTTTCCGTTGTCATTGACATATTTTTTTGTTCATAGACCATTCAGCAAGCTATAATCATCATCATTGCATGATTGTATAAATTGAGTTATTATTGATAAGAAAAGATAGATTTTAAAATTATATTATTCCGAGGAGAATTTTATTGAAATACTTTCGAATTTAATTATACTTTTGTAAAAGAATGATTAATAAGATCTAAATAAGAATGCGAATCATGATAAACCGAAAACTTGAAAAGAAGCAGAAATGAAAATATTTCACTGTTGTTGAGTTTTCGACAGAGAAAACAAAAATTTCATTTTATAGAATGTTCTAGGATCAGTATTTAGAATAAATGTTAATCATAATAATAATATAATCAGCGTCATCGATGTCAATATGCTATAAGAAAAGGAGTTTGAATATCTAAATTTCATATAAACTACGCTGACGAGGATGAGAGATATCTTTTTGGCGTTTTAAACAGATTTTAGTGAATGAAAAATATTCACTAAAGACTGTGAGAATGCAAGTTCGTAATTCCTATATGTTCAGTAGTTTTTCTTTCTGGAAAATAAAATATTTTTTTGCTGGGTGGAATGTGGGTGATGTGTTTGAAAAAGAAGGCCCACATCCCTAATAAAGAAACAAGCGATTAAACAAGGAATCATAGCTGACAATCGACAATCTAAACGAACGTTACAGAGACAAAGATATCTCTAAAATATACTTTGAACAAGAAGCGAAAAGACTCGAAGTAGTGTGCAAATATTATACCATAAATTGTTTTTTTCATAACCAAATCTACGATATCATTTTTTACGAAACCTATGAAGAGTAATAAGAGCACCACCAATACCACCAATAGTAACACCAGCAGCAGCGCCAGCAGCAGCTGTGGCAATAGCACAGGGACCTAAAACATAACCAGCAGCACCACCAGCAACAGCACCAACAACACCACCAGCAGCAGCGCCGGCACCAGCACCCAGAGCACCAATAATAACAGGACGGAGAAGGCTAGAATCAGGATTTTTCTTGCACCGCTTAGTGTGCTTCTTCGGAATCTTATTCAGCTGATCTCCTTGCAATGTTTCGTTCCTTTCCTGCTCGTCCTCAATTATGCTGCTCTGTGTTGAAATTCTCCTTCTTGTCATCATCGTTGCTTTGGTGTTTAACATACAACTCGTTCTTTGCGATTTTACAGCATTTCTCTACTTTCTTACAAACTCCTCTCTCATCTTCAACCTTTTTCCAAAGTTGCTGGCATTGTTCTTTTAGACCTGTTTTCTTTGCTTTGTTTCGAGTTTCCAACTCTACACAAGCAAATTCATAACCTTTTTCTTCTTCTGCTGCTTGTTGTTTTGTTACTTCTAATTTGAATATCATATCTTGGTATCGCTTCTCTTGACCTTTCCTTGCAGCTTCGTATTCCATTGTTATTTGCTTGGTTTGAAGTTCAAGTGCTTGTTTGTTCTCTTCAGCCTCCAGATATTGTTTTTTCACTGCTTCTCTCAGCATGCGAAGTTCGTTAAATTGTACGATAATATCAGCTTGCAATTTTTGCTCTTTTTCATGGTGCTCTGCGATGAAATGAATTAGTCGATTACGTGTTGCACTAAACTTCTCATTATCTTCAGAATTCAAATTATCGAGGTAAAACATGTCTTCCAATGAGATTGGAATTGGACTTAGCATTTTTGTAAGCAACGCAAAAATCTTCCTTCGTATGTTGGTGGTCGGTTGCTTGGTATATTGTTCAGAACAAATATTAAAGATTTGGACAGAAACTTAAAGGCTTCTTTGAGAGCTTTGAAGGCAATGATATCATCCGGCTTCGGTCGGCCATCCACAGGTGTCCATAAAAAAATGACAACCGATATGGGAGATTGTTCGAAAACTTTGACGATTTCTCTTTTGTTTCGATCAATTTCTTCTTGATGTGATTCGATCAACCCTGGAATATTGTATATGACAACGTCGCTTGGTCCAGCAAAAATTCGATGGGACTGTACAGTAGTTGTAACTGCTTCTCTACGACAGTCAGTTTCGAATCTCTCATAGCCAATTATCATATTGTAAATGCAACTTTTGCCCGCTCCAGAATTGCCCAAAATGACGAGACCGTACTCTGGCTTTTTGCTTGAAACATAATTTGCTTCCATTGTCTAAAACGATCAATTTATTTGAAATCTGCAAGAAGAAGAGGAAAAAAAATCAATTATAATGTTTCTTCGTAAATTCTGTGAAGCGTCGACAGTCACTCGGATTTGCAGGTGAACTCCTTGTATGAAACGATGCATATGCAAATGATGAAACCCTCGACTATCTTATCGTTCGATTGTATGCCAAGCATTCTGAAAAACGTACAAAATGAGGTATATTACGAAGGAAGAAGAACATTTTTGCACTTTCCTTGAACATTGTCATGTAAAAGACAATGCTTTAGATCCGTAGTGTCGTACTTAGATTTTCATAACGAGATTTCTGTATTAGAATACTGTCAAAATTTTGATAAAAAATTCTTAAAGACGCGTTTTGTAAGCATGATAGTTATGATTGTATCGCATTTCATCTATATCTCTCCTTTTCCTCTCCATGTATTATGAATCCCTGTTTAAGCATTAAATCATATACATATATACTTACATATATATTAGGTGCGGCACTTTATTTTGATTCTACTTTGAAAGTGAAGTAAAGTAAAGTATAGTTTGTGACTTTAGTATATCAGGTAACGAAAAGCAAATTGTGTAACTCTAGACAATGTGGGTGTGAGTGTGGGATGTGTTAAACACTCAATTCTTTTGATAGATTCAAAGCATAACAGGACGTTTCAACCTTGCTTAAGGATTTCATCAGGCATTTTTAGAATCCCAAAGCTTCATCATTAAGAATATCTTATAGAAATGTATATTCATATCGAATGGCATTCAAATGAGCGAAAGAAAAAGAGCGAAGAAAAATGAGCGGAAGAAAAAATGTCGAATACTAAATGTCGAACACAATAATAGCGAAAAATAAAATGTCGATCGTATGGAAATAGCGAAAAGTGTATTTTACCATCATTTTTTTTTTTGAATTTTAAAATTCAGTCAGTGATATTTTTTTCCTCCATTTTCTTGTGTTATCTATTTTCACTGGCTAGCGTTTTCGTCAATAGTATGATCGTCCAATCTAGCTAACGAAATAAACCCAAAGGACACAAGAGATATAACGAAATAAAGATACGCCATACCTTATTTTTTTCCATTGCATATCACTTGTTGTTAATTTAGTATAAATTTCGATGACATCGAATACAAGCAGCGTATCCTTTACCATCCCTAATAAAGGCAATCCTCTGCTAATTTTAAACGATTTTATATATCGAATAAAAAATGAAATAGTATTAAAAAAGATTGGATTTACGAAAGAAATGCATACAATATGCATATAGTATATACGAATATACAGAAAGTTTTTTGAAATAGATGCTGCTGAATTATTAGATGGCTTCTCACTCATCATAGCCAAATAAAAGAAATAAACTTATACAGGAAGAAATATTTTCTTTTTATTAATTTTATAACTAATTATGCTTGATTCATGTGTTATTAGTACGTTGAATTACAATGTAAATTGTTTACATTAATTATGAATTGTTGAATGTGATTTTGACGTTGTTTCTTCGTCAACATTTGTGTCGCTTTAACAGTGATCAATAGAATAGGTCAAACATTGTTTAATAGACGATATAGCAGTCGAGAAATATAACAAGACATTGAGGTCATTCGGTTATTACAGATCAATCTAAGTGTGTCATTTAGTATTTTTCTCAAGTGATTCAATTTTTTTCAATCAGTGACAGTCGATAGTATGAAGCAATTTAATTACTTCTGTCATGATTACGAGTCCGTCTGGCTGGACGTACACTATGGTTACTTATTGTTGATATTGATACCGATTACAATCATACTATTTTTGTTATATCCATATATGATGGCGATATTGATGTTTTGTCGTAGTCATTTTTTTGGCTACGAGCAATCTGATGACGACGAAGAACTAAATAATCAAGAAGAATCATACAATAGTCTTGCTAATCATTTTATTAAACTTCTTATAATAGAAATTCAATTGACATTTATTTATTGTGTTGTTGCTCTAGTTTCGACATACACACTAAATATCACTCATATTACTCGAATGAAATTGAAGCGTTGGATAATGGAAAGTTTTTATGTACCATTGACAATATATTGTTTTTTTTATGTAAACTATGTATATCGTTTTGGTGAACATATATATAACTGCAATCGTTCAATTTATACTCAATTTACAAGCATAATCAAAGTGATTACATTTGTGATTATACGTTATATGGAATTATATCCATCTTCGACACTAAATAGCAGACCAATCTCGCTTTTCTATCATTTTTGCAATTCATCTGATAAACAATATATGCATGAATTATACTTTCCTCGATTCTTCTTAAATGACAGTAAAACTTTAATAGTATAGTCTTTTTTGAAATGTATATTATTGACTATTTGCTGTATTACAATATTTGTTAAGTTGACATGTTCATTTATAAATAAAAAACAATATCAATATTTTTCGTCAATTTCTTCTCTATACACAAAGAAAATATGAAAATTCTCACATATATGTTAATTAATCATGGATCTAAAATTCTTATTAATCAAAGTGAAAGGTAAAATTTTGAAGGAATCTCATTTATGTATAACTTTATTTTCATCTTCTTGTTACACTGTAAACTTTTTAAAGATCTTTGAAATATATTTAAAATAATAAGTACTACTACATTTAATTGGTGAAAATTTCATAGTAAAGAATTTATATATTATAATTTTGTTTTACTAGGTTGAAAATAATATTTTTTTCATGAGGATAGCGTCTTGATTTTAAACAGCATAAATAGTGAATTTTATAACAAATGAAAGTTAGTGAAAAATGACCCTTGGGAATATAATTGACCATTCACAAGATGAGAATAGACTATAGAATTACGAAAAGTTTCAAATTTTAGATGAGGTATTGAAAAAAGTCGAAATTTGTATCCTATAAATTTTCTTTAACGAACTCCATAGTCGTATAAATTCTTCAATGACAAGAAAATAAAAGTTGACAAATTTTTCTCAATGGCTTTTTTACTGTACGTATGGATTCGAGTGATAATTATCGATAATTTGATTATTCTAAAGTTGTAGGTTCTTGGATATCTTTAATATAGATTCTGTATTATAGAATCAAACGAGATTATGAGAATTACATTTGAATGATATCTAAGGGAGCATATCAAAATGTTTGCCGTTCGGCCGGCCGCTCTGCCGTTCACACGCCGCTCAGCCGCTCTGCCGCGGCATAAACAATTTATTTTAATTACATTTTGAGGTGTGATCTGTTTCTTTTGATGTACATTGCTACTTCTAGTGAATATTCCTTAGCTCTACACTATTCATTTTCTACAAAAACAATGAATTTCTCAATTCGTGATAAAACTTTCGTCCAACTGTATTATATTGAAAACGTAATAAGAATATTTCTCTCATTCTTTCTTGAGGCGTTTCTTTTGTTTTGAACATCAGCCATCTGTTGTTTGACATACTAAAAACTCTTTAAAAAATATTTGAAAAATTGATGATACATATTATAGATCAACTGATTTTATAGGAAACAGCTTGTGTCAAATCGAATACATGGTTAAACTTTAGTTCATGAGAAATAGTGAAATAAAACAGCATCCATTCTTGTATAGCAAATACTACTGATTGTTTTCTTTCGCGTAACACATAAACTCGGTCAATTATGATATACACATATATAAGTTAAGCCAATTAAGGAAAACATGTAACAAGAAATATGGAAACATGTATTCTCAATTAGTTCTCATCACATGACAATGTTCATTTGACAAAATCATACGTTTTTTGGTTATCTATTTAACTTTCATAATGTCCAAAGCTAAAAAGGTACACGAAAAAAACTCCCTAAATTGTTCAAAGTAGTGATGAGTCTGAGTTTGGATAAGAAAATAATGACATAGACGAGGTAATTTGTTGTCAAGAGCGGTCACGTTGTTTTTCATCTATCTTTCTCTCTTTTCAGTCGCTTTGCTAGCAGATAAACTATTCACTTATCACGTGCTCTTTTTCTCACCGCTTTTCATCTCCTTGATCTTCTTCTACTTTCTATTTCTTAACAAAATGGAAAATATCGAAAAGATGCAGAAACTAAATAATGTCAAGAATGGTATAAACTGTTTTAAAAAGAGACGGTGTATAGAAGCGATAAAAGACTAGAACTTGCTCAATGCTGTTAGCAATGAAATCAATTTATCTGCTTAAGTTTTAGTTTTACGTATGAATTTTTTTTACTATTTCCATTAAACCATCATCATAAAATTTCGATGTTTCGTTTGATAAAATTCTGTTAAAAAATGATGACTGGTTTTTTAAACATGTTACATCATTCTTGGCATTATTTAGTTTCTGCATCTTTTCGGGATTGGTGAAGGTTAAGCACAGGAAAAATCAGCACGGATAGATCAGCACGTAATAATTCAGCACAAGGATTGATAAGCACAAGATCAATTCAGCACAGGAAGAATAAGCACATTGATTCATCAGCACCAAAATCAAATATATTCAGTAAGTTTTTTTTTCTAAGTTTATTTAAGAAAAAATATTGAATAGAATATTACAATGAAATATTATAAGCAATTGAATTAATTTGAACCGAAATATCTCGATGAGGATTTCCAAGAAGATTCAGCAGCCGTATTTCCAATCGTTCATTTCTTTTTTCCTTTTTTGGTGGTTGACCAGCACAGATGTGTAAAATATCCGCATGAGTTCCTGTTTCTTCGTTAATTAACTTTTGAAGAAAAACCCATAATGTTGGATGAGCACATTGAAATACTGACCGAATTCTTCGATTATAAGCTTCGGCAGAATTATTCGTTCTCATTAAAGATTGGGTTGTTCTTCTGTGCATATTCCAGAAATCGATTTCAAACATAGGTTTTCTTCGCGTTCTATTTGATCGAAGTCGTCCTAAAATATGATATCGTAAAATCTTTTTTTTATTGAAAAAAAGCATTAATTACCAATATAGGTGTGCTGATATTGATTGCACGCTTCGATGATTCTACTTCCTCTTCCTTCTGTTCTCTTTCCATTGGTGTAATATAACTCTCTCTCTCGTCTCTCTTCTATCTCTCTCCTATATATACGTGTGTTATGTATGAAGTTGTTACACTCTAGAGATGTCAGATGACACAATACACCATCATGTCGACGGGCATAGGCGACTCTCTAGTTTTGTCTTGACACTCTGGATATGTAAAGAAGCTAATAAACATCATTGCCAAGAGTGGCTGTACCCTACTCCACCTCTATCCAGTTTGTCATTACGATATAGACTCAACGGAATCTTATTGATCGTTACAATAGGTTCCTTCGAAGTAATCCATTATATCATCATAATGATGATCAAGTTCATTTGACAAAATTTCAAATCCATTAACGACAGAATTGGGGGTCAGAAATGCCAAGGCAGCTATTTTGTGAATGTTATGCGCAAAGATCGGATCGGATCTGTCTGATATTGATTTTGATGACCTAATTCCTAAACCGATAGAACATATAACATTAACAGCCGATTAGTAAGGTATTATGAGCTTGTTACTACCTGAAGTTTCCGATGAATGCTTTGTCTTAAATGAAAATAACATCCGGATAATGATGCATTTGGAAACGCTGCTTGGAAAGCACCAAATGAAGCTTGTTTAAAATCGAGCATAACAGCACGTGGTGACCAACGAAGAGCAATGTTAAGTATTTCACGTATAAGATGTTGATATGTTTCTTTTGTTTTTCGACGTAATAAAGCGTAAATCAATGGAATTGCATGATCACGAAACACACCATGGATAATATACAACTGATAAAATATATCAGGAACTACTTTAAATGTTCCATCCACGAGAAATTCATCCGTATCTTGCAAAACATCTACTTGCTCATCACTTGCGAATATCAGGATTCGATCATCCCCTTAATCAAGAGAGAGATTTGTAAATAAATTATTTAGTATAGAGTACCATGCGACATACCTGGTCCTGTATCACAGCGAAGAAATTGATCTTTTCGTGCAGTTTTCGTCAATTGAATAGGAACAGAAGGGAAATTTGGATCATTTGGTTCTTTCACCACTTGATTATTGTGTCGCAACATTCTGATTCGTCGTTTAATATTATCGCGTGCTGGTAAACGAGCGATCGATCGGTCAGATATGTCTATCGATGATAGGATAAAATCTAACGAAAAAATTTTTTTTTTTACTTTTATAGCAATTTGTGATGATGGTGTCCGGTGTTTCTTGAGTATTGATAGCCCGATCAGCAACGAGTTCATTGAAGACTCTGAGTTCAAGTGTTGTACCGTTGACTTTACATGTGTGTTCACTTGGTGGTTTGACAATAGCATTTGTGAAAATACATGTATGAAGACGAGAGTGACATTGATCTGAGAAGTATTTAATGCATCGCCAATAGTTTTTTTCACTTGTAGATCGATCCATGATGTAAGAATATCCATCATGATCGAGACGTGGCTTGTTTTTCGCTGTATCCCCAGGTCGATCAACCTGAGCCGTAAACGGCCGTATACCTATCATTCACGGTGAAAACCGGCGACCGTATTTTGTAGTCGTTTACTGTTGCCGTAAACGAAGTTATACGATGAAATACGATCGTCGTAAACGAGGACCGTGAAAAGTCTCCGTAAACGGTCATCGTA